CACATGATTATAAATGGTTAGCATAATAAAACGTGTGCTACTCTTCTTTATCTGGGGAACATTAACTGATTTTACTGAAGAATGATTCTAGAGCTCAATGTTTAACATAGAGTTTTAGCAGGGGAGTTTCCTTGCATGTAGTTACATTGCTCTGCCTGCAAATATCTCACCCTGCCCCCTCCAGAGGCCCTCACCCTACTCTGACTACATCCATGGTCCCTGTCTCATTGTTGGGATTAGTCACACTATATACCCCATGAAAAAGCCTTTAACCAGAGAATTATTAGATGGTCAAAACAGTTAAGCTTTTCGATACAAATAAATTTAGAAATATGCATGGTTGCATGTAAAGAAAAACTAGAGGGTGTTACTACAGAATATACAAATCATATAGAAAAGCCAATTTTAATAAAAATCACAAGTACTATATTAAGGCCCACTTAAATTATGTATCTTTGTACAAACTACCAATTAACAAAATTTAAGAAGCTAATGAATAATTCAGCCAAAGAAGAAAACACTGTTTCATTTTATAACATAAATAAGTCTACAGAGGACTTTAAGATTGATAGAAAACACATCATGTGATCTCTCAAAAATTCTTTATAATATAAATAATTCAAGAGAAAAAATAACAACTACTAAGGTATCCATGCATTTACAAATGGGAATGCAGACTCTAGCTTCAAATATTTCTTATGTATGTATGTGTATCTCAATCTGAGGGTTTGGATAAATCAAGAAATATGACACAAAACAAGACAAGCAAAATAACATGTCACCTCCTAATTAGAGCTGGAAAACAGGAGCTGTAGCTGAGCCCAAAACCTTATCTAAGAAGTTGCTTAGATATTGACCATCTTTAAAAAAAAGGCCTTTTGAATGATTGAGAACTGGAAATTTTATATAAATATTTGCTCCTACTCAAGTATTGACAGTAATGTTCTGAGTAACAAAACTTTCTATACATGATTTTGCAAACCAATTTTGTGAGTGGTTGCTGAGTTACAAACCCTTCATTTAATTGAAATACTTAAACAGGTACAAAGCATTTATAAAACGTTGCAAAAAAGATGACACATTAACAAATATATCTGCCACATGATAAACTGATGAGTCCACTATACAGACTCTGCTCTACAATCTATGTCAAATGTGCCATATTTTTCTTACCTAATTTCTTGCATATTTTTCATTCAACTAATAGTTAGTTACATACCAAGTACTGAATCACTGTTTCCTAGCTAATCATCTTTAAGGTTCCAATTTAGAACTGAATTCCTTTTGAAGAACTTTTCCAGTAGTTGAAGACCAAGTTAATATTCATCTCCTAGCTCTCTGTCCTCACTCCACAAAGGATTTTCCTTTCTTGCTTTAAGTTTCACCACACCAGCAGAATGTCTCCATTAACTGAATCACCAAGACTGAGCCAGGCAATGTGAACAGAGTCTCTAGTGGAAGAACTAGCTTCCATTGTGTTTAGGTGAAACAGGTGAAATCATAACCAGCATAAACGATTTTATAATGGACTCTTAGACATTTTAGTGCCATGAACACCAGCATATTTTTGGCAATATGGTACCGTTTTCTTAGAAGAATATTTTTTAAAAGGCAAAGTAAAATACTTAGGATTTTAAATATTGACATATAGAGAATATATGCTTCTTGTAAACATATTAAAATATAGCCTCTACCATAATTTTGAACCTTAAGCAATATTAAGAATATTATGTAATAACATAGAAATGATATAAAAACATCCATTATTTTTATTGCTCATTCACAGGAATACCTAATAGTTCAGTGGTTTATTTTAAACATTCACAAAAGAAGGAAATTTTCATTACAGATTAGAGAAAATAAAGTAGTTTTTTTTCTTTTCTAAACTCACATACTCTCTGAATTCTATCCATTAACTGTTCAGCTCTTTGATTCAGGTCAAGAAACCTTATTTTAGATTCAAGAAAAAATGTAACAGATCATAAAACTCATAAAATAGTTTTCATAAAATGATCTTTCCTCCAAGAAATTACAAGATTCAATGTGAGAATGAAATAAGAATACAACAGTAGAAGAATGTCAATTTATATAACATTTATATATATATATTAATATATATATAAATTTAATATATAATATATTTCACCTAAAAACCAATTTATATTAAAATGCTACACCAAAAGAATGATTGATGATAGAAATAACTGATAAGTTTAACTTAATTAAAATTAAATACTTCTGATCTTCAAAAACATTTTAAGAAAATGAGAAGATAGTCCCAGATGGGGAGATAATATTTACAGAACACATATCTAATACAGGACCATTATCCAAAATATATAAACAACTCTTAAAACTCAACAAGAGAAAATGAACAACTTAAAAATGGGAAATGATTTAAAAGAACAGTGGTTGTCAGGGGCTGAAGGAGGGAGGAATAAATAGGCAGAACAAAGGGGATTTTTAAGGGCAGTAAAACTATTCCATACAGTACTGTACTGGTGGATACACGTCATTCTGTTTGTCAAAACACAGAATGTACAACACCAAGAGTGAAGCCTAATGTAAACTAGAACTCAGAGTTTAGTTAAGGAAACAAATATTTAAATAAATGATTACTGCAAGATAAATTATATTATAGAGCTATGTAACTAGTGCTCTAAAAACACAAGAAAGTAGGTATAAAAATAAATAATAAAATTTTTAATCTTATTAAAAAATCTGAGAGTTTCAACAAAAATCAACTGGCAAATCTAGATCAGTATTCTGATACCACACAAAACTATGGTTTTCTAGACCTCCTTGTTAAAAAATGATAGAAGTAACTACAAAACTCTTTAAATTTTATGTTCTTCTTATAATGTAAAGTCACAGACATGAAAAAATACAGCTTCAACATCTGAAGCACTCTATGGTGCTATGAAATACACAGAAGAACAAAAGGAGATTTGACATAAACAGATTAGTAAAATTGTTCACTAGACATTTAGAAAATAATCATCTAGTACATGACCACAAATAAACCTCAGAGTTGAAAAATCCTTAAAACAATGACCATTAAAATTAACCTTATTTCAAACCCTTAAAAAAATACATTTGACGTAACAGATGGACTATCAACATGAGTCATACTGGTTACTCCAAGTAGAGTGCTGTAAGTGACATACCCTCCAGACTGTTTCTTCAAATATAACTTAACATTCAAGCAGTTCAGTAAATCTTTGTCTTCATTAATTAAATCAATCCTACTGATCACTACAAAAATCTTCCTCTCTAATAAAAATGATAAATTAAGGTATTAGAATGTCTATTATTCAGAGTAATCTATATTATCCTTTTACCATCATGCTTTACTTGAAAAGATGAGAAGAAGGGAAAAAAGATGGGTCTTCCCTTCAATTTTAACTAATAGGATCATTTTTGCAGAATAATATAAAAACAGCAGTCTCTTTAGATCCATCAACCAAAGGGATAAGATCTGACAAAAAACTAAGTTTATGAAGACTATTTCAGCACTGAAAGCAAAAGAGCAATTTTTATCTGCTACTTACAAATACAGTATTTTAAAAGTATGTCCTCTGGAAGTATTAAATCAATTCTTAACTATGAAAGTTGGTAAAAAAAAAGAAGAATTAAGCATTTATCCTGCCTTTTAATATAAAACTGTACTTCATTCCTAGTTGATGACAGAAAACTTTTTTACAGGAAAATAGCAGTTAACCAATGCAAAAGACATAATAGAATAGGAAAGTCACCATTCTATAGCCTTTAAGATAACAAAACTATTAATTAATAAGCTGTTTCTGAAATGAGGCCAAAATAACAGTTTGCAGATTACTAACTAATCTCCACAAAAAAAAATGCATCTCCCATATGTAGACATTTGATGGGTCACAATTTATCTATGTGATCAAACACAGTATCAAAAATTGCTACAACCTGATATAATGTGTCCCCCTGAGGGGATGAATGATGTAGACAGTAATACCTATGAAGTTGAAATAAAGAAAATACTGTTATTATGAAAAAAAAAAAAAAAAAAAAAAAAAAAAAAAAAAAAAAAAAAAAAGGGGTCGGGGCACCAAAAAAAAAAAAAAAAAAAGGTGGAGGCTGTAAATTGGACTAAAAGGAACTAAAGAGATATGTAAGGAGTGAATTTTAATTAGATCTTGATCTGAAGCAGTTAGAGAACACATTTCTGAGACTACTGGGAAATTTTAAATTATGGCTTGGATATTTGATAATATAATGAGTTAATTTTCAGAACTGCAGCATAATTGGTTATGTAAGATTTTTATTCTTAGGAAATGCTTGGTTAATTTGCAGTGGGTGAAATGCCATCACATATGTAACTCAAAATCACATGGTTCAGCAAAATATATATCATATTAAAATATGAACACTTGTTTAATTGAGGTGGTGGTATGTGTGTCATCACTATATTATATTACAAATCTATTTTTATGTTTGAAACTTTCATAAGAAGAAGTTTGGAGAAAAAAATGGAAAGTAACAGAGCTTTCCACATTACTCTAACGTCTCTCCTTATCAAATGCCTTAAGAACAACCAGAAAAATAAAAAATAAAAAATGGGAAAATATAAGTAAACTAGTTTATAAAATGTTACAAAGTCAAAAAGAGACTCGAAGTTACGAAGAAAGTGCCATTCACATACACTAATACATAGGCTGCAATATTGAAGTTCTTGGCTTAATTATAATACAAAAATTAACACAACTAAACAACACTGTTTACCTACTGTCACTATTCAATCACTACTTTAGTGAGAGCAAAACTAGTGTTTAGCAGATCTCTAAATTTCCATTAAAAATTTACTCATTCCTTCATTCAATTCAGTCACTTACTGAAGACCACTTACTTTTCTGATATACACTGACACATGTAAGAAAAGTCAGATTTCATATTTCCTATTTTCCTTTTCCAAAAACATCAGTTGGCAAATGCATGATATAAATGGCAAAAAAAAAAAGAGGACATACCACTTGTATTAAAAGCCATACAGCACACTGGTTTTTCATGAGCAGGGAAGTGGGCCACAATACCATCACTGTCAGAATCCTCACTCAGAAGCACCTTTACAAAAAGAAGACAAACAGGAGTTAACCTTTACTCACCAACCAATGAGCTTGAAGATACACATAGTTATACCACAGTATTCCTGACCAAATAACATGCTTCTACTACACTGGAAGATAATTCTTGTCAATAGGAGGAGAATACCACTTTAGGAATGAGGAAAAGATATAACATGCCCCAGCAGATCAATCATATAAACTCTAAGAGGGGTTGACTTGACTGTAAATGACAGACACAGTAATTTCTCAAAGTGTAGGTTCAGAAAAAAACAAAACGCATAAAATCAGCTATGTAAAGCATTATCAAAGGACAAGAACATACAGTTCTTATTGTGTAATGGTCTGCTAGAAAATTCTTAACCCTGATTGGAATAGAACAGGGAAAAACAAGATAAGTTAAATGCAAACAACCAATCATTTGTTAAAGGAATTACCACAAATTTTTTACCTAAAGTACAAAAATTGTGGTCTTTAACTCTAATTTGCCCATTGTGAGTACATTCTTCAATGACTCTTAGGGAAAAAAAGTTTTACATTAATGGGTATTTATTTTACAAAGCAAGTAATAATTCAAGAGACAAAAACGTTTTACATACCTAATGTTCCAAAGGGAAAACCTACTACACCAATACTGGAGCATAATATTCAGACATAAAGAATTTAATCTCATGCAACCCAGCAAGTAGTCCTACACAGAGCATATGAATTTTTCTTTTAGACTGTAAAGCTTTACAGACATACAAATTACATGCCATAAAAATCATGGATTTTGTTTATAATTCAATGATTTTATATAGTACTGTAGTTGTTTACAATCTATTATATAGAAATACTGATTTGTCATCCTTTCCTATCTTAATGCTTTCATTCTCTTGCCTTACTGTTATGGTTATTGTTTTCTATTATTGTTATCCAAGCTCTAGCATCTTTTCATAAATAGATGATTTTCACTTCATTCTTAGCTTTTAACAGACTTCTAAAGTCCCCAAATAGTTGTTTTCGAAGTTCTGTCCAGTAATGTCCTCATTTTCCGCAGAGATTTGCTTACCTCTTCCCCACAGCTCACAGGCATTTCCCAAGCATGAATAAAATTATACATACAAATCATCCATTTTAAATATGTAAGTGGATAATACTTAGTAAATTTTTTACAGTTGTGTAACCATTACCACATTCTAGATTTGGAACACTTCTATCATCCCCCAAATTTCTTCATAATGGGACTTTAAAGTATATCTCCAACCCCAAGCCCCAGGCAATCCCTAATAAAACAGAATTATGTAATTTATCTTCTATTTTCCTTCACTCTATATAATTTTTTAGTTAAATCGTGTTGTTTGAGGTAGCACCGATTTTTTTAATATTGCTGAGTCACGTATTCCATTACATGGAAGTACAAAATGTGGGTTCACCCACCAATTCTAGCAAATTATATTATTTCCTGTTGATTGCTATTATGCATAATACTGTTATGAATATTTGCATACACATCTTCTTGTGAACATATTTTCATTTCTCTTGGGGAGACACCTAGAAGTGGATTTGCTCAGTCATTTGATAAGTGTATGAAAACTTTCTAAGAAACTGACAAACTGTTTTCCAAACCAGCTATCTCATTTTATATTTCTACCAATAAAGCATGAGGTTTCCAATTTCTCAATATCTTTTCAACACCTTTTATTATACATCTTTTTAATTATGGGCAATCTATTAGAGATAGAAATTAGAATGATGGTCACCAGAGACTATGGGGACAGGGAGGGGATGGTTTATTTTATTTATCCATCCGTTGTCATTTGGTGTTCATTTGGGTTGCTTCTTCTTTTTGCCTATTATGAACAATACTGCTCAGAACATTCATGTACAAGTTTTTACATGGACATACATTTTCATTCCTCTTGGGTATATACTTAGGAGATAAACTCCTGAGTCACACAGTAACTCTTTTCCAAAGGAGCTGTACAATTTTACATTTCCCACCATCAGTATATGAGGGCTTTCATTTCTGCTTACTGGCCATTGGTATACCTTTTTTAGAAAAATACCTATTCAGATCCTTTATTTTAAAGGTAGGTTATTTGTCTTGTTATTATTATTATTCAGTTGTAGGAGTTCTTTCTATATATTCTAGATACTGGTCCCATATCAAAAATATAATTTTCAAATATTTTTTCTCCTTTAGTAGATGTCTTTAAACTTTCTTGATGGTGCAATATATAGCACAAAATTTTTAAATTTTTATGAAGTTCAATTTGCTTCCCCACTTTCAGAAATATGTTATAAGTATTTCTTACATATATATGTTGATCAACATATCAGATAATTTTTTCCTCAACCAAATATAATTTATAAACCTCATGACAAAAAGTCATATATTTTATATACTTTTACTTTTACCCATTCCATTGTTCTTCTCTACTTCTGAAGTTCTAAGCCTTCTTTTGTCATATAATTTCTTCAGAAAATTTTGATTAGCCATCTTTAAGAGTAAAGCTACTAGTGACAAATTTCTCTTAGTTTTTCCTTTTAATAAGCATGGCTTTATGTCCCCTTCATTTCTGAAGGATATTTTCACTGGATTTGGAAATCAGGTTTAACAGTTCTTTTGCTTTACTATTTGAAAGATGTTTTACCACTTTCTTCATCTTCATGGATTCTGATGAGAAAACTGCTGCCTATCATACATTACTGAGGGAATGTAAAGCAGTACAGCCCCTCTGGAAATAGGTGAACAGTTTCTGACAAAACTAACCATGCACTTATAAAATTCATCAGTCACATTCTTGGGCATTTAATATAGAGAAGTGAAAACTTCACACAAATCACTCAAAAATCTTTAAACAGATGATCATATCAGCTTTGTTTATAACAGCAAAATTCTAACAACACCTCAATTGTCTTTCAGTGGGTGTATGGCTCAACCAACAGGAACATATTTATATACAGAAAAACAACAGAGGGATAATAAAGAATGAATTACATGCAATAAACTAACTTTAAGGTTATTACAATTAATGAAGAAGTCAATCTTAAAATGTTACATACTACATGATTTTACTTACATAATTTTCTAGAATCACAAATTTAATGGATCGGAGAAAAAAATAGTGGCTGTCAGAAGAAAGAGATGGGTTAAGTTGTGGATGGGTACGAATACACAGAGGTTTGTGTTGAATAGTCCTGTATCTTAATTGTGGCAGTGATTATGTTAATCTAAACATGGGATAAAATTTCATGAAACTTTATACACCTATATGTCCACACAAATGAATGCAGGTAAAACAAATGGTGAGAGCTGAATGAGGTCTGTAGCCTATTAACAGTAATGTACCAGTCAATTTCCTGATTTTGATATTGTACTACAATCTCCTGGTTTTAATATTTGATGTATTTGATAATACACTATTACATAGATGTTACCATTCAGGGGAGGTGAAGGAACCTGGGTGGAGGGCACAAGGATATCTCTACAACTTACTGTGAATCTATAATTACTTCAAAATTAAAAGTTAAAAATGAAGATCAGTACAGCTTTTTAATTTCTCTCACTCTGATAGGTGATAAATGGTATCTCGTAGTTTCATCTTTCACTTATAACAAGTGGGTACAGATTTTATACCGTTTTTATATAGATCTTCCTTGACATAAAAAGAAGTTACATCCTGATAAACCTGTCATAAGTCAAAAATTCATTTATTACACCTCACCTACAGAATACCATAGCCTAGCCTACCTTAAATGTGCTCAGGACACTGACATTAGCCTGCAACTGGGCAAAATCACTTAACACAAAACCTATTTGATAATAAACTGTTGAGTATCTCAGATAATTTACTGACTACTGCAAGTGAAAAAGAGAACAGATGTCTGATATATACTGGTGTGAGTGTGTCTCAGTTGTTTACCCACATGACCATGTGGCTGACTGGGAGCTGTGGTTTGTTGCCATAGCCCAACTTCACAAGAGAATATCATACCACATACTGCTGACCTGGAAAAAAAACAAAATTCAAAATTCGAAGCTCTATTTCTACTGAATGTGTAATGCTTCCACACCATCATAAAGTCAAAATAGCTAAGTGGAAACATCATAAGTAAGTCTTCATTAATTGTAATAACCTTAAAGTTAGTTTATTGCATGTAATTCATTCTTTATTATCCCTTTGTTGTTTTTCTATATATAAATATGTTCCTGTTGGTTGAGCCATACACCCACTGAAAGACACTTGAGGTGTTGTCAGAATTTTGCTATTATAAACAAAGCTGATATGATCACCTGTTTAAAGTAAAACATCATCTATATTTTCTTCTGTTAAATATTTGTCTTTTGGCCATTTTTCTATTTTACCTTGATCTTACAAGATTCCCTTTCCTTTTCTGTCTTATAACTCCATACCTCTCTTTCCAACATAATTAGTATTGAGTACTCTATTTGATGGTACTAATACAGAAGCCATGCAGTAAAAAAGGCACATTAATTTTGGTGCATAGCAAAATCTCATACCACTACAAAGGATTCTGTAACTCTTCTCTATGAGTCCACAAATATAACAACCAAATACTTTTGGAAGGATTTTTTCCATTTCATTATCACTTTATCAACATACACTTGTCCTATCCCAATACAAATGCCCTGAGACATGTAATTTTCACTCACCACTTAACTAATCAGGCTGAATCCCTAAGTATATGAAGTAACAACTTGACTATATTAAAACAAAGCAAAGCAAAGCACTTTAATTGATGCAAGGTGGATAAGCCTTTATCTAATGAACAAATAATAGACAAAACACCTCAGGAACCATTAAATTATCATGAGTAACACTTGTACTCAGATCAAGAAACAGCTCAAGTTTATGTCATCATTCTGGAGCATTTTTCTTTGATTAGAGACTTTGCAACATTGCTAACTTCATTACATAAATGTGTAAAGGCAAATTATACCACTTAACTTATCCCAGCCACAATAAAACATGAAAGTAACACTGAAAAAAGGATGCAGTCAGTCAAATCCAGTCAAATCCGTTCCTCCTTAATGCAGTTACCCCACAATGATTCAGTCACCATAAAATCAAACTAATCAATTTAGTATCAGAAAGATGGTAAATCAGTTCTTATATACCACCACTGTAATTATACACCACCACTGTAAATATGAAAGTATCTTTATTAAAGGCTCAATGGATTTAAACAGCCAAAAGTGAATATAATGTCAACTTTAGCTCCTGAGATGTCCATAGAAAAGGAAAAACATTATCAAATATCAGTAGGAAAGGGCTAAAAGTGATAAATTATGACAATAACCAATGTAATCTCTTTAATACAATCCAGCATAACCTAAAAATAGCCCTGTTCTCCAACTGAACTCTTTATCAGAGTCAAAAATGTCTTCTTGACAAAAAAGTTTTAAATTAATCTTGACAAATCTTGACAAAAACAGATTTACATTAATAAAAGGAGGACAATATTTTTACAAAGGAAATCTTATTGCTTTAAAAAATGTGTATAATTCTTTCAAAATGCATGTTGTTACTTCCCATTTATTAGACATCAGCTTATTTCCTGTCTTATAATAGAATTTTTAAATCAAGTCAAAACTTCAGAATGTAAGTGTGAATGCAAACAGATTGACACCAACAAATAATAGAAAAAATAAAAAATTTCAGGTTGAACACTTAACTTTTTTAACTTTTAAAAGCTAACATTTCTATGATTCTTTTTTCCTAGTAAACTTAACTTGTTTCAAGTGTTAGCAATGCACTGATCACAGAAAAATGAACTTTCCAAACTCTGCAATATGCACTCCATTTTCATATTCTAAATCTGAGAATTCCATTTTTTACTTATAAAAAGTTAGTAAGGAACTGGGAAAATTTTCAAAGACACATTTGAAAACATAAGGCCTAATGCTTTACTTTTCATACAATGATTAAAAATTTTTCTTTCTACCTGTTTCTATACTTAAATACAATAAATTGAGTTATACCTCTATGTCCCCCAAAATAGTAAGAGATACCATTTTCTCCTTTTAAATGACCACAAATCTGTCTGTCAACAAACGCTAGACGTTTAACAGACATACTTACATTCCCACACTAGACAATGCTGAAGAGGGTTGTTACTACTCAGTGAATGTGGGTGGCCTTGGAGGTGAATTAATTAAGAATCAAAGGACAAAAGAAAATATTTTTTACTTCAACACTCATAAAACACCAAGGGCTTATATATTTATTTCCATTTAAAAAGAGAACATCTGTATGTGTCTATCAACTTGAGCTAATTAACACAACTTTTTTTAAAAAGTCATTACAGTCAACAGAAAAGTTTGCAAACACTTCATTAAAAAAGGGTTTTAACAGGAATACAAGCCTGTAACATATTTGGTTAATCACAAAGTCAAGACAGGAGAGGCTGAGAATTATTATGATTCAGATTTCAAATTAAATACAATAGCCAAATTCAATAACCCAAAATTGCAAAAATGTTTTTGTCTTTTATTTGCAGTACAATTTTTTTTGAAATGCCACTTAACTTTACTATAGGAATTAGTAGCAGCCAAATGTAATCTTTCATCAGATGTAGAATCATATATACTGGAAGGAGATTTTCTCAAAAGAACATGTGATATTTAGGTTAAGACTGTAAAGGATCATATAGTTTCTAAACATTATGTTCTGAAAACAAATACATATTCTATATAAAATTAATAATTTCTATTTTACAAATGTTGATCTCCGATTGCAGCAATCAATTTTAGATTATATTTTTTATACAAGTGATAAAAAAACTATTCGAATTTTTAAAGTGCCTTCCTTTCAGAAATGTATTTTAAATAAAATTTAAGACTATGACACAAAGAAAAATGTTTATGAGTGCTTTGGGAAGAAAACTAACTGCCTCATATATTTTTCCATGTTTATAAACTCCTAAAAGATTCTCTAGTTTATCTGAAGATACAGAATTTGATAAGCTATTACCATGTATGTATTCTAATACATACTTTGAAACTGTGTATATTTTCATGTTTATAAGGAAATAACTGTAATTACATTTAATAGTATTAACATTATCACTTGTAACCAAAATTAGTCAATATTTTTAATTCCCCTAAATATATAAGATCCTGTTGATTGCTTCCATAAGCAAGTCTCTGCCTAAAAGGAAATTATTAATCTTCTGATTTAGGTTATCAAAAATGCCATTAAAAAGAAAAATAAAACAATACAATGAACAGAACAACATATAGAGATATAGGACTATTTATTTATGAAACAAATGTCCTGATGAAGAAATAACAAAAGAATTTCTTAGAAACTCAATTTTATCTTCAGGTTTTAAATATGAATAATGTTCCAAATAACAGGTTTTTAACACATTACTCATCATTTTTAAAAAAAATTCTAACCTAAAATAACCTCAATATCTACAATTCAAAATTAACAACCTAGTACATTTTAGTAGATTTTGATCCCAAATAATATTCTTCATCACCCCAACCTCTGCAGAAAATGGACATTACATGCACTGGAAATCCTTACCTGACCCTCTCCAACTGTTTCAGTGTCGATTACTGTGATGATGCCTGGGACTAAAGGACTCCGCCTTGAATTACTATGGATGGCAACATCATCTTCTGTCACACCTGAAGGCAGCGTGCCTGTCAGCTGAGTCACCACTTTCCCAACCATTGTCAGGCCAGTTTTCAATGTCTATACCATGAAAGGCAAATGAAATACTTCACATTAGTATTTGGAAAATATGCATTTTGTTAATTCTCCTACCCATTAAATTAATTTCTCTTATAAGCTTATCTATAGCAGTAAACTGTCATAGAAATTCAGTCATATTTTTCATATGATACTAAACTTTAGTTGGAAAATCAGTCTTAGTTTGAGTGAAATGGTCCCCAAAGTCAGCATGGTCAGAGTAAAGCCATAGGTAAATGATTAACAGCTTTTTTTCACAAGGTTGCAAGTACATTTTTATTTTTAAAAAATTTGTTTTCTGCATCTCCTTAATGCATATACCTTAAAATAAGTGATGTAGTAAGAACTATGCAATGTTCCATCTTTTGAAATATTATACATCTAATTTTAAAAAGCCTTTTTAGCTTGAAAAAGACTGAGACATTGGTAGAATCCCCATGTGAAAAGACTACGCTTCCAAAGTAAATATATAACATACTGTTATATAATATTTTACATCAAGATTTGGCATGTAGATGCCTAACACTGTGTTGCAGCCAAAAGCCACAGCCAGGTTGGGAAAGAGCCCCATGCACTCCTGTGCCAGTCACAGCTCCACCATAGCATGTGGGTGTACACAGCTCACACAGGGGATGCTCCTTGAACACTTAGCTATTGTGGCAAGAGGGGATAGCACTTGAGCCCCATGGAACATATCTTAAACAAGGCCACTCCTTGAAGACTGGGAGAGAGAGCTGATTGCCTGATACATAGAAACAAACACAGAGAGTCAGGTAAAATGAAGAGACAGAAGAATACATTCCAAATGAAAGAACAATATAAAAACTCAGAAAAAGATCTTAATGAAACAGAAATAAACAATTTACCTGCTTTAGACTTAAAAAGCAATGATCATAAAGATGCTCACCAAAATCAGAAGAATCAATTAAAACAGTGAGAACTTCAACAAAGAGATAAATAATATAAGAAAGTATCAAACAGCAGTCATAGAGCTGAAGAATGACTGGATGAAGTAAAAGAACAGATCAGCAAACTGGAAGACAAAACAATGGAACTTACCCAGATAGAACAGCAAAAAGCAAAAACGTCTTTTTTTAGGTGAAAATATCTTAAGGGAACTTTGGGACAATGTTAAGTGTAATAACATTCACATCACAGGGGTCTAAGAAGAGAGAGAGAGAAAGGGCAAGAAAACTTATTTGAAGAAATAATGACTGAAAACCTCCCTAATCTGGGAAAGTAAACAGACATTCAGTATGGAAGCCTAGAGAGTTAAAATAAGAGTTATCCAAAGAGATCTATGCAAAGAAACATTGTAATTAAAACACAGTAAAAGTTAATGATAAAAAGAGAATTTTAAAAGCAGAAAAACAACTTGTTGCCTAAAAGAAAAATCCCATAAGGCTATCAGCAGAAACTTAGAATGCCAAAAAAGAGTAGCATTATATATTCAGAAGTTCTAAAAGGAAAAAAGGGGAGGTTAAAGGAATATTAAGTTTTGCAATATAAGCAAAAAATAAAGTTCATAACCATTAAAATGGCCTTGTTACAGAGACTCCATTAAGCAGAAAATAAATGGCACTAATTTATAACAAGAAAACATGAACGTGAAAACCTCAGTGGAAAAGGTAAATATATGGTAAAGATAGCAGATCATTTATACAGCATGTATGGAGATTAAAAGACAACAGTAGTAAAATTAATTAAAATTGCAATAGTTAGTTAAGGGATACATAAAATAAAAAGACATAAAATGTACACCAAAAATATCATTGTTGAAGATTAAAAGGGTAAAGTCCTGAAATATGTTCAGATTTAAGTACCTGTCAAATTAAACCCAAATGCTATATACAAAGGATGTTATATGTAAACCTTACAGTAACCAAAAAACAAAAACCTACAGTAAATAAACAAAAGTTTATTTAATTAAAGTATAATAACATTTAAAAAGAAATCTAAACATAACACTGAGGAAAGCCAGCAAACCATAAGGGAAGACTTATAGTCTTATAGAGAAGAAGACTACAGAAAGGAACTACAGAGAGGAACTACAGAAAGAGCAGAAAGCAACAAAATGAAAATAAGTACATACATATCAACAATTACTTTAAATGTAAATGGACTAAATTCTCCATTGGAAAGACTGTTGCTGAATGAATTTAAAAAAACAAGTCACACCTTTATTCTGCTACAAGTGACTCACTTACGAAGGACGCAGATGCACTGAAAAGGAAGGTATGTGGATAGATATTCCATAAATAGCTATACTCATATCAGACAAAACAGACTTTAAAAGAAAGAATATAATAAAAGACAAAGATTGACATTACATAATGATAAAGGGGTCAATCCAGAAAGAAGATGTAACATTTGTAAACATATATACACCCAACATAGGAGCACAAAAATATACAAAGAAAATATTAATGGACTTAAGAAATTCACAATAATATAATAATAGGAAACTTTAACATCCCACATATATCACTGAATATATTATCCAGACAGAAAATCAATAAAGAAACATGAGCCATAAATAACACATTAGACCAAATGTACTTATAGAGAAGAAACACAGAAAATTCCATACAAAACCAGCAGAATACAAATTCTTCTCAGATGTACATGGAATACTCTCTAGATCATCTGTTAGGACACAAAACAAGTCTCAATAAATTCAAGAAGATTAAAATCGTATCAAGCATCTTTGCTAATGACAGTGGTATGAAACTAGAAGTCAATAAAAGGAAGAAAACTGGAAAAACCAGGAAAACATGGAGATTAAACAACATGCTACTGAACAACCAATGGTCATCAAAGAAATCAAGGGAGAAATTAAAAAATACCTAGATATAAATGAAAGCAAAGACACATCACACTAAATCTATGGGATACAGCAAAAGCAGTTCTAAGATGGAAGTTCATACCAACACAGGCCTATCTCAAGAAACAAGAAAATCTCAACAATCTGGCTTTACACCTGAAGGAACCAGTTAAAAGAAGAAAAAATTAAGCCCACAGTTCATAGAAGAGAGAACATAATAAAGATCACAGCAAAAATAAATGAAAGTGTGACTAAAAAGACAATAGAAAAAAATAATGAAGTTAAGAGCTGGTTCTTTGAAAAGGTGAACAAAATTGACAAATCTTTAGCTAGCCTAACAAAGAAAAATAGAGAAGACTAGAGTAAGTAAAATCAGAAATAAAAGAGAAGTTACTATTGATATCACAGAAATTACAAAGAATCATAAGAAATTTCTCTAAACAATTATACACCAACAAATTGGACAACACAGAAGAAATGGAAAAATTATGAAAATTTATATGACATGATTGGGAACTTTACATGTATAAGGCTTATTATTAGGCTACAATAATTAAAGTAGTATGAGATATCTCCTAATATCTGTTAGAATTGTTTTCATAATAAAGAAAAGAAATGAATGTTGGCAAGGATGTAGAGAAAAGGAACTCTTGGGCACTGCTGGTGGGAATGTAAACTGATGCAGCCAGTATGGAAAACAGTATGGAGGTTCCCCCAAAAAACTAATAATAGAGGAAAGGATTACAGACTGTGGTGGGAGAGATGAGAAAGAAACCTCTTCCCAAAACTACACATAATATGAAAATATAGTTAATACAACTATTCCTGAAAGAGCAACAAGAAAGAAGGCTATGCCAGAATGCATATACCTGGAGAAAAGGACAGACCTCAAAGAACAGGGTAAGGTACCAAAGCCATGATGCAGTGGGACTGAAGCCCTTCCCCGACCACAGCTCACCAGCGTGAGGAAGAGAAATGGAGCAGGAGTGAGGGGGAGGTCTAGGACTGCTGAACACCCAGCACTAACGATCTGCTCTGGGAGCACAAATATACACTACATGGTGCTCTGGAGATTACTGGGGTTGGAAAGCTAAGACAGAGGGAATACTTGGAGAGACTGAGAATCCAGCCACCTGTGGAAAACAGGGATCCACATCCAGCCACTCTGGGACAAAAGAAAGGCAGGCAGTCTGAAAGACTTCCTAACAGTGAGAGAGATGCTAAAGAGGCAAGGATTTCAAAGAGCTTGCTGCTCAGGAGAAAGAACAGGTAGACAAAAATGTCCAGACACACTTTGCCAAGCAGGTTGGGAACTTTCGGGAGCTCAAGCACAACATCCTGCTGGCTACCTATACAGCTCCAAGGCTCCCTACCATGATAAGCAGCCTGCTGTGCCTTCCTCCCAGGCAGCCAGCACACGATCGAAAGCAGGCTGCCCCTGACCTTGTGCCAGGCCAGCGAGAAGGAGGCCTTGCCTATGGCAACTACAAACACAAAACATGAAGGCTTATACCTGTGCACTCCGCCCACTGGCCCTGGCAGTGGAGACAGACACTGAGGCCAAGCAGCAGGAAACAGCTCTTTCCTCCGGAAAGGCACCAGCGCCAGTCCCCAGCAATCCCCGCCATCATGCCAGGGACTGCGCAGCTCCAGAGTGCACCACTTCTGCACACTAGGGAGGGCCACATAAAAATATGGTATGTCAAAAGGACCTAGTTCAAACCAAAATCCCACAAACACCAGAAAAAGCACCAAGTGTAACTGAACTCATCAAACTTCCTGAAAGAGATTTCAAAATAAAAATCATAAACATGCTTATGGATGTACAGAAAAGTATTCAAGAACTCAGGGAAGGATTCAAGAGTGTGATTTAATCATTATACAATATAGTATCTCAAATGAAACATACATATGGTCATCAAAGAAATCAAGGGAGAAATTAAAAAATACCTAGATATAAATGAAAGCAAAGACACATCACACTAAATCTATGGGATACAGCAAAAGCAGTTCTAAGATGGAAGTTCATACCAACACAGGCCTATCTCAAGAAACAAGAAAATCTCAACAATCTGGCTTTACACCTGAAGGAACCAGTTAAAAGAAGAAAAAATTAAGCCCACAGTTCATAGAAGAGAGAACATAATAAAGATCACAGCAAAAATAAATGAAAGTGTGA